CGATTGTTTCCATATCTGTGGAGATATGTTTTTGTGATGCTAAGATAAGTGCAGGGTTGGCCGAGAGCCATAGGTGCACGAAAGAGCATGGAGAGCTTGTTGCGAGTGCTCGTACTTGTAGCCTAGATGCGAGTTCTGAAAGATCGCTGCGGTGTTGCCCGAGCTCGCGGAGCTCGGGAGCGAGTCCTCGTACTCGTAGCCTCTATGCGTGTTCCAAAAGATCGCTGCGGCGGTGCCCGAGATAGGGCGAAAGCATGTTGAAGACATCGCTCGAGCTCGCGGAGTTCAGCAGTGGTCGAGAAAGCTTGCTAAAGACATCGCTCGAGCTCGCGGAGCTCAGCGGTGGTCGAGAAAGCCTGCTGAAGACATCCTTCGAGCTCGCAGAGTTCAACGGTGGTCGAGAAAGCTTGCTAAAGACGTCTCTCGAGCTCGCAGAGCTCTGCGGTGGTCGAGAAAGCCTGCTGAAGACATCGCTCGAGCTCGCGGAGTTCAGCGGTGGTCGAGAAAGCTTGCTAAAGACGTCGCTCGAGCTCGCGGAGTTCAGCGGTGGTCGAGAAAGCTTACTAAAGACATCGCTCGAGCTCGCGGAGCTCAGCGGTGGTCGAGAAAGCCTGCTGAAGACATCGCTCGAGCTCGCAGAGTTCAACAGTGGTCGAGAAAGCTTGCTAAAGACGTCGCTCGAGCTCGTGGAGCTCTGCGGTGGTCGAGAAAGCCTGTTGAAGACATCGCTCGAGCTCGCGGAGCTCAGCGGTGGTCGAGAAAGCCTGCTGAAGACATCGCTCGAGCTCGTGGAGTTCAGCGGTGGTCGAGAAAGCTTGCTAAAGATGTCGCTCGAGCTCGCGGAGCTCTGCGGTGGTCGAGAAAGCCTGCTGAAGACATCGCTCGAGCTCGTGGAGCTCAGCGGTGGTCGAGAAAGCTTGCTGAAGACATCGCTCGAGCTCACGGAGTTCAGCGGTGGTCGAGAAAGCTTGCTAAAGACGTCGCTCGAGCTCGCGGAGCTCAACGGTGGTCGAGAAAGCCTACTAAAGACATCGCTCGAGCTCGTGGAACTCAGCGGTGGTCGGGGAAGCCTGCTGAAGACATCGCTTGAGCTCGCGGAGCTCAGCGGTGGTCGAGATAGCCTATTGAAGACGTCGCTCGAGCTCGCGGAGCTCGGAAGTCCAATTTGAACGATTACCGAGCCTATCTTAGCCCGACATGAAGTTAAACTCGTCGCCGCATCAGGGCAGGATAGTCGTTGTGTTTATAAGCTCGGGAGTATCGTTGTGCTCGGCAGTATCATTTGTGTTTATAAGCTCACCAGTATCGTTGTGTTTATGAGATCGACAGCGGGTCCTCAGACTCGTAGCCAAATTCAGGGCGAAAGTTTGTCGTGGCGTTGCTCAAGTTCTCGGAGCCCGGCAGCGGGTCCTTTCATTTGTAGCTAGATCAAGGGTAATTAGCCCGTAGCGGTGCCCGAGCTTGTAGAGCTCGGGAGGCCGTAGATATGGGACTCATTGTAACAACTCGAGCAGATAGTGCGAATGTCAAGCGTTTTAATGTGGCTAAACATCGAGCATATTATTCGGGGGCCACAAAGGCAATGAAAGTGCAAAGTTAGCCCAAGAGCGATAGTTGCATACAGATGGCTGCAGAACTCCGACATGGTAGGCTGTGTGGGCTAGACGAGCCCAGGACCTTCACGTTGTAGTCCTACGATATACACTTGGGCGAGACATGATTGTTTTACTCTTAGACAAGTCTCATATTCATAAGCTTGTCTAGAGTGGGGGGGCTAGATGATGTAGCATGAAAAATAACTCGGTGGACCAGCCTGAGCAGTTAGCTCGGATAGGCCGGTCTAAGGAATCTTAGAGCTAATTTATGTGATACACGGTATTAATTTAAGATATTCATGAAAGTTGGTGTATATCTACACAATTATTGAGGAGTATCAGAGTTCTTGTTTATTAAGGAAACTCATTATCTTGGGGAGTAAGTCATTAAACCCCTTATAAATAAGGGACCAGGTTTATTTTCTAATCCCAAGCTCTTAAGATTACGAAAAATACACGATCAAAATATCTGTTTTCTGACTTGAGCGTCGGAGTGTCTACGCCGGGGCGCCTCATGTCGATCCGGTTCTTGAAGATGAAGGCGATCGAGATGTCCGAACTCTCACGCAACCGAGATGAGGCGGTTCGACCGGCAATCTCGGTGAGTCAATTATCGTGGCTCATCACTGTCAATTCTAAACTATACCATAATAATATCCAACTTCTAACATAATAGTAATAAATTATAATTTATAACATAATCAGTTTTAACCTATAATACAATAATTTCTAACATCTAACAAAATAGCAATAAATTCTAATTCATAAGACAATAAATTCTAATCTATAATACAATAATTTCTAACTTCTAACATATTAGTAATAAATTCTAAGATAATCAATTCTAATATATAACATAATAATTTATATTAATATTTTTTTCAAACAAGTATTATTTCTGATTTATAATAATATAACTTATGCTAATTATACTAATATCATTTTTTTAACTGTATATGTTGTTAGTTCATTTTATTCTCAACAAGTGCATAACAAACATAACCCGAAATTAACGTATAGGGTTTAGGGTTTAGGGTTTAGGGGTTTAGGGTTTAGGGTATATGGACATCATTATGTTATTAATATATTATGATATTCGGCCGTGTTTATACGTTAATTTCGGGTTATGTTTGTTATGCACTTATTGTATTATAGATTAGAATTGATTATGTTATAAATTAAAATTTATTACTATTATGTTAGAAGTTGGAAATTGTTATGGTATATTATGTTTGCGATTGATGACATTCATTATGTTATTGATATATTATGATATTCAGCTGTGTTTATATTAGTATAATTAGTATAAGTTATATTATTATAAATTAGATACTAGTTTGAAAAAAATTATATTAATACAAATTATTATGTTATATATTAGAATTGATTATCTTATAAATTAGAATTTATTAATAATATGTTAGAGGTTAGAAATTATTGTATTATAGATTAGAATTGATTGTCTTATGAATTAGAATTTATTGATGTTTTGTTAGAGGTTAGAAATTATTGTATTATAGATTAAAGCTGATTATGTTATAAATTATAATTTATTACTATTATGTTAGAAGTTGGATATTATTATGGTATAGTTTAGAATTGATAGTCTTATGAAATAATATTTAGTACTACTATGTTAGAAATTAGAAATTATTATGATATAGATTATTACTATTATAAATTAGAATTTATTACTATTTTGTTAGAATGTTTTTCCTACTATAATATTCATACGAATCATATAACTCTGAGAAAAGTGTTAAACAATCTCTTGTCATAAAATTCGGTCAAATCATATTGAATTAATCGGTCTCAATGAATTGCTCTAACAGAACCCGATATTTTTCGTTCAATTTGTTATTTAAATTAGTATTTATGAATATCAAATTTAAGTCAAAATATTATTTTAGTATTTTAAAATTTATTACCGAGTTGAAAAGGAGCAGATTTAAGAAAAAAAGGGAAATACAATTTTTAATAGCATCACTCATTAGTATTTTATTAGAGATAATTAGTATTATGTTATATAACATAATAATTTATGAGTTCTAACATAATAATAATAAAATTCTATAAAATAATTAGTTATAATTTATACTTTAACAATTTCTAAATTCTAACTATGAGATATTAAATTCTAATTTATAACATAAATCTAAATTCTAATATAATGTATATAATTAAAAAAAAATTTTAAAAAAAAAATATTGGCCGGCCGGCCGGCAAAACCGGCCGTGCATGGTGCGGCCAACCGGCAAAACCTGTTGTGCATGGGCCGGCCAACCGGCAAAAAGAAGGCCGGCACGGCTACGGCCGGCATTCGAGGCCGGCCGACCCAAAAAAAAAAAAAAATTATTTTTCGCCGGTTTGACCGGTCGGCCGCCGCATGACCGAATTGTTGGAAAGCATTTTTTCGCCGGAATTATTCAGAGGTGTTTTCGAAATTTTTCAAGGCTCGGTTTGGCCGGTAAATAGTTTTAAAGAGGGACATCTCTTCTTTTTTTAAAAAAATGAATAAAGGGCAAATTAGTCTTTTGGGGGGCGGTAAATATCGAAAAGTGGGCGGTGTTTAGCGTTTCACTTTTCTAATCAATACTCAATTAACAAAATATATCTATTGGACATTCGTAAACAACAAAAAAATAATATTACATTACATTAAAATAACAACTAACCTCTTCTCCGACGATTGGTTCAAAAATTGTTTTTTTTTTAATTGAGCTTCAATTTCGCAGAAGAGAAGATTTTTTTTTTTGTGAATGGTGTTGTTGCTGTCTGTGGTCGGGGGAGGGTTTTCGCAGCTTTTTATATCCAGCTAAAAATGGACTTTAAAAATCCGTTTTTAATTTTTTTTATTAAAAACGGATTTTGATAATCCGCTTTTAGTTCAACCGTTTTAAATTCGACTGTTTCCATTTAAATTCGATTGTTTGCTTTTAAAAAAAAAATAAAAAATAAAAAATAAAAATGACTTTTGGAAATCAGTTTTTCTAATAAAAATTTTATTAGAAAAACGGATTATGAGAATCCGTCTGTTTTATGTTTGTCTACATAATTTTTTTTTTAAAAAAAAAAATAAAAAATAACCCACCCTTCCAGCTCAAGAGATTACCGTATTTTTTGAAGGGACAAGACAAACCTTCCTTTCTTGTCTTTGTGAATAACTTCCCAAATTTTCATCTCAGCAGCCGTTTTTCGCCCAAATCTCATTTTTGAGGTCGAACAAGCAAGCAGCAAAACCCTAGTTCTTGATTTTCATATTATCTTGATTAATTTTATCTTCAGCAAAACTCTATTTCTTTCCATTCTTTTTCCTTTTTGTCTTCTCTTTTGCGTAGATGCAAAATTTTGGATGAGTCGTCACTTTTCTCAGCTAGGTTTTCAGCTTCATTTGGATTTCCAGTAATGGGGGCTTTAACCAACAACCGGAAGCGAGGGGACGACTATTACAAATCTCTGGTTTCGCCATCAGCCCCAATAGATCAATCCTACATTCACATTGCCAAAAAGCCCAGACTTTCAATTTCTCCGGCTCAACGCACGCCGCAAAACAGCTGCGCCCAACCGCCAAGCTCGATCACGTCGAGAATTTCTAAGTATCCGGATAGAAAACAGGGTTTTTCACGGGAGGTTCATGCCCCTACAGGGAACTCAAGATTCAGACCCTCTTCTTCCGCTAAGAGAAGTGAATCTGCTGGTAGTTCCGAGGAAAGTCCAGTAATGGGGAGATTCAGTTTTTTTAACCGGCGTTATGAAGAAGCTCGGACGAGAGTAAGGAGAACTTTTGGGAAGGTGAAAGAGAAGGAGGTGATTGAGGTTGATAGTGAGGATGATGAAAGAGATGACATCATTGATGATCCCATCATTGAGGAGTTGAAGGTTGTTAGTTCTGTAGGCAGAAAGAGAAAGAAAAGGCAAAAGGATGTGGAAAATTCACGTCAACCGAATTTGAAGAAAGTTGAAAAAGAAGTGAGGTTTTTAGATTTGTCTGTCAAAGCAGATGCAAGCAATGCAGTTGTGGAAACAGATGATAGGGATAAAGGTGGTTTTGTGCAGCTGGACCAAGGAGCAGATGACTCTATATTGCCGTTGTATAAAAAGATGCATGATGGAATAAGCAAGAGATATGATGGTCCGCTGGAAAGCATAAAACATGAGATAGGAAGGCGTGAGAAACACAGGCGTTGGTTTCCCTTATTGTATTCTCAGAAGAAAGAAGAGCAAATTAAGAAGGTGAGACGTTTTTATGTAGCTTGCAATTTAGTATTTGGTCATATTTTGCATGATGATTTATAGTATGGGTCTCGTTTATTTGCAGGATGTGGCGAAAGAGTGTTTCGTGCCCCTTACAGAGAAGGAAGAGAGTGAAGTTTCTTATGCCTTGTCGAAGCCAAATAGGTATAGCAATTTCATATTCTTGTTGAAATTGGTGCCTTTTCTCCTACCTGCTTTACTGTGCTCGTCTCCCCTCGACCTTCAGGAGAAAAATGTTGGTGACTCACGAGAATTCAAATATCGATATAACTGGAGAGAAATTGCAGTGTTTCAGACCTGGAGCATGGCTTAATGATGAGGTGATGTGTCTTCTGTTTGTATGGAATATTGTGTAAATGTTCACTTTACATGCTGAAGCTGTTTTTGGGAGGCTATGATGCAATTTATATGTCTACGTTGTGTTGTTCCTTGCTTTGCAGGTCATTAATTTGTATCTTGAATTATTGAAAGAAAGGGAAAAAAGGGAGCCAGAGAAGTTCTTGAAATGCCATTTCTTCAACACCTTTTTTTATAAGAAGGCTAGTTCACTGGTCTCGCCTTTCAGATCTATTTATTTCTATTCGGCGATCTAACAAATATGTTGCATTATCGAAGCATGTGAGACAATAATGTATTTTTATCAAATTTTTTATTTCCAATATTGACTTCAGTTTCTTTGTTGCATTATATCCTATATACCATTTGTGTATGGTAAGAATACCCCTAGTCGCCGCGGGTACACACTAATACTTTGTGTATTCTGAATAAGATAACATATGATTACTATTTTAATCAAACTCTGATTCTGGAAAGTCACTTAGTGTGAACTTTTATACAAAGAAAGAATTTAAAATTTGTTATTTCCAGCTGATCAGTGGTAGAGGTGGCTACAATTTCCAATCAGTTAGGAGATGGACCACACGAAGGAAACTTGGATATAATCTTTTGGAGTGCGATAAGGTACAGTGAATTTATTTTTTCCATTTTCAGTTCTCTGACAAATTTTCCACATCCTTGTGCTTTCCAGAATTGTACTCACTCACACTTCAACTTTTTCTTTAGATTTTTGTGCCAATTCACAAAGAAAATCATTGGTGCCTAGCGATTATCAACAAGAAGGACGAAAAGTTTCAGTATCTTGATTCACTCAGAGGGGTCGATTCTCAAGTTTTGAATGCTCTGGTAACTTGGTCTTGACAAAAGTTTCTTTTATTTATTGTTTATCAGAAGTTTTTTTTGAGCTATATGTTGAAGAAAATAATAAGATTGATGCGTTTCTAGGTGAAGACTTTATATACATCTTATGTTGCATGACACATTTGGATTCAATATGCAGGCCAGATATTTTGTTGATGAGGTGCAGGACAAGTGTGGAAAAGACATTAATGTTAGTTCGTGGGAGAAAGAATTCGTCACAGATCTTCCTAAGCAGGAAAATTGGTATTGTGTAGAAATGTCTGTACAATATTATCTATTATCGGCTAGGAATATTAAAAAAATTGAAAGAATATTCCTATTCCCTAAACACAACACAACTCTGCTGATTTATAAATAGAAAGGCTGTGACTTGTAGCTCCTCGTTTGTAGCTAATGTAAAAGTTTTTTTTTTCCTCCCTTGAGAAACTGTTCCCCGACTATTTCTAAAATCCAGTGTCACTCTTTGGTGGTATAATCAAAACTAGCTTTATACCTAGTTGTGATATACATACGGAGACGACACGTATGACACTAGATGACACCTTTTGAACTAGTTGACCTGGCTTTTGTGTGTTCCTGCATGGGAACACGATATTTTCCCAGTTAATTAAATCAAGCCTTCAGTTATGTTTAAAATTGATACCCGGAACAGGTATGACTGTGGTGTATTTATGATCAAATATGCCGATTTCTACAGCAGAGACATTGGACTGTGTTTTAGTCAGGTAGCCCCCTCGTACTGCAGTTGTATCATCCTGTATGTTAGAATTCTCCTTTATTTGTTTATTTATTGGTGTAGGAACATATGCCTTATTTTAGGCGAAGGACTGCAAATGAGATTCTGAAATTGAAAGCCGAGTGATGCACTAGACTTAATCATTGGCCATATGATTGGTTCAAGCCAAGAAATGGAAAAGGAGAACACATTGACGAGAACCCATCACACAATTGGTTGCTGGTGAAATTCGTCACAAGACGGCCATGTGATCCGTATTCTTAGTTGTCCATGAGTATCAGTGGTGAGTGATTGAAATTGATATTCACCTGATCATGGCAAAGTTGGCGCTTATGTGTGGTTTCTCCTTTTCTTTTCCTTTATCAGCACCTGTCTATATTGACTTTCCAATGATAGGGTGTATGTAGTCTTTTTTTTTTTTTAATCCATTTTTTTCTAGGAAAAAGGGTTTTGTTTCTTGCTAATATTTTGGTTTCTAATTTTGCGGCTGACTTCATGGCTACTTTGGCGTCATCCTCCCAGTTGGGACTTCAGCATGTTCCTGCGCCCCCCTCTCTGGCCTGGGGACATGGTTGGATCATGATGTTATCGGAGTGTCCTATCCCCGACGCGTCATAGTTTAATCACCCTCTAGGCCTTTGGCCTCCTCTTTTGTACCAAAAAAAAAAAAAAAAATATATTTTGGTTTCTAATTTTGTGAATTAGGAACTCAATGGTTTCTTTCACGTCAACCATTTGTCTGTAAGTTGATTTCCGATAGCATTGCTGAAGAAAATAACAATGCCGAGCGGTAGTGCTGTTTAGTGCACTACATGGTGGTGATGGTAGTATGGGTATTGGTGAGAGTGGGAGTAGTAATTATTTTGTTTCGTTTCAAAAATATGATGCTATGGAAAAAGGTTAAAAAGGATTTCAGGTACTTAAGCGTGTTTGGTAAGCATAATAAGTTGAATTATAACTTATTTGGTTAGCTTATATTAGTTTCGTAAGACAAGTGGTTTTTAAAAAGTTCGAGCTTATTTTGTAAACTTTAGGTAGTTTTTTCAAATCAACTCGTTGAAACTTTTATTTCAGTAGGCTTATAATCTGACTAGTAGATATCTTGTGTACATGCACTGATGTACATAAAATATTATAAGTAATATTTGAGAATTTAATATTAAAATTCTAGATAATGCACATATTGCATTTTCATAAATTTGATCATTAGAAAAAATAAATTAATTGTTTTATTACTATGAATAATTGTTTATTATGTTTATATAATAACAGTTTGATTATTATTAATATTATCATTATTATTATAAAACCATTGTTTATAAGCTTATAAAGTTGTTTGACTATGGTATTAAAACAATTTATTAATTGTTTTTAAAGAAATTTTTTCATGAAATACAAAAGAAAAAGATAATATTGATGTTAATATAAATAACTTGAAACAATTATTTATAATTATGTAATTTATATTTATTGTGAATTATTATTAGTTGGTATTAGCAATAATTATTATGTAATAGAATAGAAAATACATGATTACCTTTAATAGGATGTATTAATTTGAGAAGTAAAAAAAAAATTAATGATAAATTTTGTAATTGAAAATAGAGGGAAAATTTTAGAGGTTTTATTAAATATGTAAAATTAAATGCAAAGCTAGCAATTATATATTATTATTATTATTATTATTATTATTATTATTATTATTATTATTATTATTATTAAAAACAATGGTTTATAAGATTCTAAAGTTGTTTGACTATGCTATTAAAACAATTTACTAATTGTTTTTATTTTTTTTAATGAGATACAAAAGAATAAGATAATATTGATGTTAAAATAAATAACTTGAAACATTTGTTTATAATTATGTAATTTATATTTATTGTGAACTATTATTATTTAGTATTAGCAATAACTATTATATAATAGAATATAAACATACATGATTACAATCAACTAGTACAGAGCCCGTGCGATGCATGAGGTGCACAATTTTAAAATTATTTATTCAGCCTTATAATTATATAAATGAATAAAAAATGTACTTGATATATATAGTACGTGACATGTGCGAGACACGAGATATATTTATTTGGGAATATTAGATTATAAGATGCAATATTCAATAAAAAATTTATAATACGCAGGAAAATTATACAATAAAATAGTATTTGACAAAGAAACAATCATATATTATCAAAGACCTCCTTGTACATGGATATTGAATAATATATTAGTAAAATAGTGTATAAATTGATTACAATACAAAACAACATGCTCACGGGATTAGTAAAAATACTCCATGGATTGAAGATTTAATGGGATTAAATATTTAAATTAATTAATTTAGATAATTCGAAATTAGATAATTCAAAAGCCTTCCAACATTGTTTTGACTTTAATACATTACAACATGAGTATACTTTAAGTATATTAATATTTAAGGAACTTTAAACAACATAGTTTTTAAAAAATTGTATTAGGTAACTTTAAACAGCACATTTACGTCACTCTTAAAACATATTATATTTCAGCAGCATAGTTATAGTTTATTTAAGGAACTCGAAACAACATTGTTAAATATTTACGTCCACCCATAAATTTTTTGTAAGTCGAAGGTAATTAATCCTGTGCCTCTTTTTTTGTTCAATTTTTTTGAAAAAATTGATGTCATGGATAAAATAATTAAATATTAAATAAATTAATTAAATAATATTAAATAATATGCTTTAGACAGATATAAAATACGGATAATCCTCTCATGCCAAACAACGCGATTTCAAAATTGACTCAGATCCAACAATCATATCTAATATTTCATTAAAATAAATATTAAATAAAATGCTTTAAACATAAATTTGATAAGGATTTTGAATCTGTCTTTTTTTAGTATAGATAGACTTTACGTATAATTTTTTACTTCACCGATTTTATGGGTTTTGTTTTGACTGAATCGATGTTATTATGGAATAAGACAAATAAATAAAGTTTTTTTTTTATTTTAGTAAAGATTTTACGTACTTTTTTTTTTTACTTATCGGAGGTTATGCGATTTTTTTCTTGAACCGATTTTATTGGATATAAGACAAATAAATAAAATAATTAAATAAAATTCTGGATAGAAATAACAATGCATTAATTACGTTGACCTTTCAACCTACTAAATTTGGTAAATAGGATACCTTATTATATAAAAGTATAGATAGGATGTATTAATGTGAGAAGTAAAAAAAAAAAAAAAAAAAAA